ATTCCCAAGTCTGGGGGAAGATGCAGCCGTCCAGTCCTTCTTTTAGTGGTTTTCATTTCCTCCTCTACTGTCTTTACAAAATATCCCAAAGCTCAAAGTGTCTGGTGATTGTAGAAACATAGTTCAGATTAGGAAGTGTGGGTATAATTCCTCCAGTTTTTTAATTCATCTTTTTCAAACTCTGCTCCATTTTACTCCTTTTTTGCCCAAAAGGTTTTAACCCTTTCATCTGTGGAGGCTGCCAGGAGTTGGGTCTCCTACTGAGGTCTCTCCCCGACTTAGCCCTTTGAACAGTCATGGTGTGTAGGATTCCACACAGGTGACACGGTGGTGATCACCCTTCCTGGTTTCTTCCTCCTTCCTTCATTTTCTTTTACTAAAAAAATACATATTTATTGTTTTTTTCTTTCTATTTATAGAAGTAATTTATGATCCATATAGAAAACTTGAAGCTACAGAAAATATCCCTCACACACACACACACACACACACACACACAAATCAAAATCACCCTTCCTACCTTGAGAAAACCAGCATTAACTTTTCAGTTATGTCTTCCTTATCATTTCCTTTCTATAGGCATATACCTAATTTCTTTTAACTTTTTATTTTGGTCTAATTTTAGATTTACAGAAAGTTACAAAAACAATGCAGCTTCCCCTAATGTTAACATCTTCCATAACCATAGCACAATTGTACAATTATCACAAGTAAGAAATCAATATTATTGTCATTGTTCTTAGTTGTCATTGACTTGATGCCAACTCACGGTGACCCCATATGAGCAGAGTAGAACTGCTCCATAGAGTTTTCATGGCTATGACCTTTCAGAAACAGATTGCCAGGCTTCACTTCTGAGGCACCTTTTGGGGGGTTTGAACCACCAACCTTTCGGCTAGTAGCCAAGTGTTTAACCATTTGTGATATCCAGGGACTCCTAGAAATTACTATGAGTAATACTATTAACTAAAAATATTATACTCTTTATTCAGATTCCACCAGTTTTTCTACAATTTTTTTCTGTTCCAAGACCCAATCTGTATGTACCTAATTAAAATTATATATATGTATGTGTGTGTATATATATATATAGGCTCTGGTAGTGTAGTGCCTAAGGCATTTGACTGCTAACCAGAAGTCTGGTGGTTGAAACCCACCAGCCACTCCTCGGAAGGAAGACTGGGCAATCTACTTCGGTAGAAATACTGCCTTGGAAACCCAAGGGGAGATTGCTATGAGTCGGATCTGACTTGATGGCAGTGGATTTTGTTGTTTTATATACATATATATAAAACCTACTGTGCAGGAATTTTTTAGCTGGTATTTTCCATTTAGTAATATACCATAAACATTTTCTCAGTCAATTAAAATGATCTATGTCATCATCTTTTTTAATGGCAGCATAGTGTTCCATTGCATGGATCTGCCATAATTTAGTTAGCCAATATCTTATTATACTGCATTTAAATTGTTTCTAATTTTTTCATTATTATAAAGAATGATAAGATGAGCATCTTGTACATACTTCTGACATGTGTATCTCTGATTATTTCCACAAGAGAAATTCCAGAAATGGAATTACTACGTCCAAGGGACCCATCCCTCTCTTTTTACCCTCATCTCTTTCAAATGCACAGCCAAGATTTGTCCCCGTTGATGGCCCTTATGCTTAAAGAGACTGCTCATCTCTTACTTGCAGGCAGAGGAAGAAGCAAAAAGACTTCAGAGTGGACTACAGCCATTGGATAATGGGGATGGAAAGAAGAGATGGGAACATCAAGGGCTTCTCAGCCTTCTGCAAGCCCCAGCTGGGTATCTTATCTCTGTAGGATGAGGAGGATGCTCATGAGGATAATGGGAGGGGGCTATGGGTAAGGGGTGGGGCAGAAGCTGCTAATGCATCTTGCCAGCATCTTTGGTTTCTCCAATATTCAGCCAGACTATTAGCAGTTCCCCAGGGATGACCTTGTTCCTCACGTCATCCCCCATTTCCTATAAATGGAAAGTGGCTAGGGAGTAGGGTGTGTGTGTGTGTGTGAGTGCGTGTGTGTAAGAGAGAGAGAGAGTGTGTGATTGTTGTGTGGTGTGTGTCTGGGGGGGGGGAGGAAAGGAAAGGGTCACAGTAGTTTTCCAACCAGGGCTTGGAATGGGGTCATTCTGGTTCGATCCCATACTGAGAAATTGTATTTCCATCCCAGATATACTGAATCAGAAGCTACATTTTAATCAGATCCATAGGTGATTCATATAAATCTTGTTAAAATGTAGATTCTGATTCAGTATATCTGGGGTGGAAATGTAAATTCTCAGCAGGGGGTTGAACCAGAATGAACAGGTTGGAAGTCTGGGTTTCAACAGCTGATTTATTGAAGAACTGAGGCTCAGAGACATTGTTATTTGCCCAGAATGACACAGCATCTTTGGGAATAATCAAAAAACCCAACCCAAGCCACTGCTGATGGGTTGATTCCATAGCAACCCTAGGACAGAGTAGAATTGCCCCATAGGGTTTCCAGTGTTGTAAATCTTTATGGAAACAGACTGCCTCATCTTTCTCCTGTGGAGCAGCTGGTGGGTTCAAACTCGACGACCTTTTGGGTAGCAGTTGAGTGCTTTAACTACTATACCACCAGGGCTCCAGGTAGTTTCATACCCACTGCCATGGCATTGATTCTGTAGGACAGTGTAAAACTGCCCCCATAGAGTTTCCAAGGCTGTAATCTTTATGGAAGAAGGTGGCCCCAAATCTCTCTCCCACAGAGCTGCTGGTGGGTTTGAACCACTGCCCTTTCAGGTTTGCAGCTGAGTGCTTTAACCACTGTACTGCCATCTCCTCTTTGGGACTACCCCCCCAAAACCCACTGTCATCTAGTTGATTCAAACTCACAGTGACCCACAGAGTTTCCAAGATATAAAACTTTACGGAAGTAGATTGCCTCATCTTGCTCCTGCAAAGCAGCTAGTGGGTTTAAACTGCTGACCTTCTGGTTAGCAGCCAAATGCCTTAACCACTGCACCACAGAGCTCCTTCTATTTGGGAACAGCAGGGTATTAAACCACAATGGTATAGCTATCTCTAGGGCTCTAAAGTCACTGGCCAAGTACATGAAGGATTGCTGCCTCTGCCTTGTTTCTAGAGCCCAGATTGGGGCAGTGGGGGGTGGGGTGCAGGGAGGGAGAGCAAACCTAGGCATTTTCTGTTTCTTTATCTGAAAATGGTGCCTATCTCTTGGGTTGTCCTAAGGATTGAACGAGTTAATTCATGACAAACACCTAGAATAGTGCCTGGCAAAATCAGTAATTGTTATCTATCCTTATTATTACACAAGGCTACATCATCAGAAAAGGGAGGTGGGTCTTCACAGCAGAGGGCCTCCTGTGCTGGGCAGGGCCTGGAAAGTACATCATCTGGCTTGGTAAGGCAGGGTCACGTGCATTGGGGAGGGTTGACTAGGTGTTTATTCAGGTAGCCAGGTTGCTGGTGGGGTCCAGTACCTCACATCAGGATGTCTGCTCACTCTCCTAAGCCCCCTTCCCCCACTTCTGCAGGTCACCAGGCATAAGGCATGCACAGCCCCTGGCAAGAAGTCAGCAGACTGGGGGGGACAACTCTCTCCTGCTCCCAGTGTTTTTTCCCCACGCCCAGAAAATACCACGTTGACTCTCCTGTCTCTGTAATTTTCCAGCTGACCTGAAATTCCCTAACTCCGGCCCTCTTTCCTGAGCAGAGGGGACACCAGCTCAGGGACCCAGGATTCCTCTCTGGTTTTTCTGCTGGCCACAAACAGGTGTGCCAAAGGCTTTGGAAGGCCACCAGGACCCTGGTGGGTCACCTGCTGGAGGTGTGTGTGCTCTCAGGGAGGCAATGCTGAGACAGTTTTCAAGTTAAACTTGTTTAGTGACTCAAAAGTAGTCTTGATTTTTCTCAGCTCTCTCCTGCACCCCCCTTCCCCACTGCCACCTGGATCCATTGCTTCCTTCTTCCTTCTCCAATTTCCTTTCTTCTCTGACTCCCTTTGCTTCCCAGCTGGAGGTGCCCTTCAAGACCATGTGGCTAAAATTATTTTCTTATAGAGCCCCAGAACAGGGAAGGGACTTGCCCCACATCACACAGCCAGTTGGCGGCAGGGCCAGTTTGGAACTCAGTGCCCCAGTGCCCAGTCCAGGGCTACAGCCAATCAGGTCCTCCCCTTCAGTCCCAGGTATCTTCCTGTGATTTGGTAGTAATCAAGGCAATGATCCACAGACATTGGCATTCTCTCCACCCCAGTAAAATTCCTTGGAGGAAAAAAGACATAACTAGGTTCAGTCCCACCCTAAGGACAGCCTAGACTCCTGATCTCTGCCTCCCACCTGCTTTGTTCCTCTCCTGTCAGAAGCATCCTGGAAACAGGTGTCTGTTGGGACCTTGCTCAACACTAGACAGGAGGGGACATTTTACTGGGAACATATCATGCCCCTTTCCCCATTCACATCCTTCAGGAGAAAAAAAAAAAAAAAATCGTATGTGGCTCTCAGATGCAAGAAGAGGGATTTGTTAGCTATAAGGAAGCTCTTTTTGCCCGAGAGTATAGCAAACAGTGGTAAGAGAAACTCTGGGAGCAATTAGCATCTCCTCTCGAAGTGGTCCTGGATGGGCGAGTTGCGGCCCTGCCTGGAGACAGGAGGATGCCCAGAATGGCACGTGTCGGTAATAATCCTAGACTGACTCCGGGGTGAGGAGGTGCCCCGCGGAGCCGGGTAGCGTTTACCTAAATGTTTTGGTGACAAGCGGCAGAGAGGGAGGTGCACTGCCCTAGGTAATGATAGGGTAGGTTCGGAACCACACGGGGGCTGCCCGTCGCGGTCGCAGCTACAAAGACAGTTCCGAGACCTCCTGCTTTCTTCCCTTGGGTACCAGCCCCACCTCTCCATACCCCCTCCCAGCACCCCCCACCTCCGTCCCGCCTAGCCCCGCCCCCTCATGCAGCCCAGCGCGCATGCTCTTTTCCCCGCAGAGTAACCTGGAGATTTAAAAGCCGCCGGCTGGCGCGCGTAGCGGGGGGGGGGGGGAGTAAGGGGGGAGCTTGCACGCGCCGGCCCTGGGTGACAGCCGCACGCCTCGGCCAGGTAGGAGGGCGCCTCCTCCACTCCCAGGGGAGAAGATTCCGGCGCGGGAAAGGGAGGGAGGGGCACTGCGCGGCCGAGCTCCCGCGGTGTCGCGTGTTTGGCGCCCGGTGGGATGGGGCCGCGCGGTGGCCGTCCTGGGCGCAGCGCGCCTGTCCCGCGCGAACCCGAGAGGAGGTCACTGGGCTGCGGTGTCTCGGCTTTGCCGCAGGCCGGGCGCTGGGTCCCCGCTGAGCTCTGCTTTCTTCCGCGGAGGGCGGGCTGAGAGGCGCCCCGGTGCCTCTGCTGTCCCCGGCCCGGCGGCGAGTGGGCGGGGAACGGCCCCTCCCCGAGCCCCGGTTCGGGCAGACAGCGGTCAGACCCGCCGCTCGCTCCTGTTGCAGCCTCCCGAGTCAGAGTTTTCTTTGGAAAGTTGCATTTATTTTCTTCTCTTGTCTCGGCTTCACCGGAAAGGGGCAGGATGAGTCACCGGGGCGCGCACAGTCCGGGACTTAGGGGGAGACGGGAAAGGGGCCCAAAGCTCGGACACCGCAGGGTCCTTGGGCTACGACCGGCTTTCGGGGGAAGGGAGAATAGCAAATTATCAAGAAAAGTAAAGGGTACTGAGCCCTTTGGGATAGCGGCCCTGGGGTTACGTTCTGGGCAGAGTTGCGGCTGGCTGGTGTGTGTGTGTGTGTGTGTGTGTGTGTGTATGTATGTAAGGTAGGTTAGTTACTGTGTTTCCTGCTTGGCCTCGGTTATCCCGGGGTGTGTGTGTATGGGGGCAGTCTGCCGTTTCCTTCTTGCGTCCTGCTTCCTGGGGGCACACCGTCTGCACACAGGTGTGATGTGGTGGTACCTGAACATCCAATTTCTTAGGGCTCTAGGCTTAGGCAGCAGCATGACCTACTGGAGAAACCCACAGAGAGCTGCAGTTTCCTCCAGAGTGAAGGCCAGTCTTTGCACAGTCTCCAGTTCCTATCAGGCACTGGAGCCCATGCGTTGCTCTTGCCCTTGACCTCTGAATCAGCTTCCATGCCTGGACTCTTGACTGGCTCATCTACCCCACCCTACGGCCCACTTCCCCTGCTTCCTTTTTTCCAACTGGCAAAAGGGTGGGCTGGGTTTGGCATGGTGGGTACCTGGTGAGAGCTTGCCCTTCAGCTGTTACACAGACCTGATCCCAGCAGAGTGGGGACTAAGAATAGCCCAGCTGCTGTTTTGCTGCCCTGGAGTCTGTACCAGGGCTCTGCCAGTGGACCAGGGCCCAGAGTGACCCTTGCTGGGCTTCCAGAAGCTTTGCTCAGGGCTGGTGGTGAGGCCCTGGAGCTTCTGTCTGCCTTTCTTGATTTGATTAGCAGTTCTCCTTTCAGAGGATCCCTTGGAGTGGACTCATCTGCCCAGTCCTGGTTCCTGAGAAACGGGCTGGTGTAAAGGGGGTGAAGCAGGGTGGGGAAAGTTCCCGGAAGCCTAAGGAAACCCATAGAGCAATTTCTCCTAGGGAGTGAGCAAGATGAAATTTGAGGTCACAGACCCTTTTGTTGGATCCGTCCCATCCTCTCATTCCTCCCTTATCTCCTCCCCCCAGGCCTGTCCTGGAGCCAGGGCTCTGTTTTCCTAAAAGAGAGGATGCTAAGCAAATGGAGCTTTAGTCAGCTGGATGAGTTGTAAGATAAAAATACAGCTGTGGATGAATGTACATCTGTGGACACACAGGCCCCAATTTAGTGGGTGTGTGGGGGGAAGTTTTCCTATGTACTCATGGAGCATGTGGTTAGCTCCCCTTGCCCCTCCTGGCTTTCTGAGTAACCCTGATGTGGGAGGAGGAGGAAGAAGAGCTGGACAGTGATCCTTGGCTGTGGCACTGAGCTCCTTCCAGGCCGCTGGGTTTTGGAGGATGGCATGGAGGGCCTCTCTCAAGTTCCCCCTTTACCTGAGCCAGAGAGGCAAGGGTGGTTTGAGGACTCCAGAAGTGAAATTAAGCACTAACATCTGGACCATTAGAGTCTTAACACCTAAGCTTTCAGAAAGACAGGGTTTTAATCTTTCGCCTCCACAAGCTGTGGAATGTTAGGCAAGTTATTTAATCTCTCTATCCTCAGTATGAGAGCTCTGGTAGCATAGTGTCTAAGGCACTTGATTGCTAACCAGAAGGCTGGCAGTTCAAACCCACCAGCCACTCCTCAGAAGGAAGGTTGGGCAATCTACTCAATAGTGATACTGCCTCGGAAACCCAAGGAGGGGTCGCTATGAGTCAGAGCCAACTCAATGGCATATAACAACAATAACTAACCTCAAGTTTGGAGATTTGAACTCACCCAACAGTACTATGGGAGCTCTGGTGGTGTAGTG